CTGTCTGAATTTCTGGAATGAGGAATTATCATCATTATTTACACTATTTATATTTAGACTATTGTCCTCCTTTTTTTGTTGTTTCTATCACAATGTTTCAGCTATTGTGCCTTCAGGCCTTCTTCAAGTGTGCATTGATCTGGGTAATATACAGGGAATTCTGAAATGAACACTCTATTTAATCTTGCTCCATTGTTCATATCTAGGGATATCTCATATAGTTCTTATTTTCATCACTGCTCTGTTATTGCTTACCCATTTCCACTGAATGCAAGTAGTGAGTTCAATCCATGGGTCGGGCAATGTAAACAATAAGTGTACTATCAGTATATAGACCCAACAAAAACACAAGACCAAAACTCTCCTATGTAAAACTGTTTATTCAACTCTGGGCTCCATCAATTAATATCAGCAAATGATTGTTTTTTTTTTTTTTTGTTTTTTTTTGGTAGTGGTTGGGGGGAATATAGATTCTTTTTCTCACAAGGATGTAAGAGATTCTTCTCTTCCCTCTTGGGTGGTACTTAAATATCTACCTGTCATTTGGTTTGTCCCACATGCACACATCCCTAGCACAGCTGGGTCAACCACCAATTTACATGTCAAGGACAGTCACCGACATTTAATCTGCATGGATCTGTACTTGATAGCTAGGAGGTTATCTTCCAAATCAACCTACTGATGCAGCTAACTTCTCTGAAACATCTATATAACATTGAATTCAAAGTCTATTTTTGGTATTATCTGGAGTGAGTCACATACTACAGTACATCTAATGGTGATTTTAACTTTGATTGAGAGAAGGGCTTATGGCCACATCATGTTGAATATATTGTGAGTTTAACTTAAGAATCAAAAGTTTGGTAAACTTGAATTGATTGACCCATTAGTGCATCAAATTGTTCAATCATTTCTCATTTTAAAATCACTATACCAAGTAAGATAGGACCACTTTTATTATTTATTTTTCTTTTGTTTAGTATTAGGAAGCCATTTTGTAGCTTATGTTCTTCAAACTTTTGGATAGCCTCTCATCTGCACAAAATGTGTACAACAATAAATTTGATTTGGATGGGCTGGTGAGGTAATCGATAATGGTTCGGAATTGTTAAGATGAATTCACTTCTCCCCCTAGCCTTGGGTTAATTAGTAAGACTTGTATCACTAAAACCCATATTTAAAAGAAAATTCTTACAATCTAAAAATATTCTCTGGCTTTAAATAACCTGTAAAGGGTGAGGGTGTAGAAAATGAATCAATCCATGTAACTTATGTTCTGCAAACTTTTGGATAGCCTCTCATCTGCACAAAATGTGTACAACAATGAATTTGATTAAAAGATTAAGCAGAAAATTAAAATGGATTAAAAGATTACATAGGAAAGTAAAAAGTGGGGAGGATGGAAAATATTTTTATAAAAAGCAAATTTTACCATCGACAAGTATGGCAGAACAGATGAGGATCTTTTTTTTTTTTTTTGACATCTTTTATGATCTGTTGTCCAGAAATTGTGCCTTTTTTTTGCATTATCACTGCAAAATCTACCCATCTCACTGGTGAGGTACTGTCTGGGGACAGATCTCCAGTCATCAGACTTGAATTTCCGGATAGTGAAATTCTTGTAAAGATCACAAAATGGCAACTGATCCTAAATTAGTTTTCCGTATACACTGGTGGTGGTAATATTAGCTATTTCCCTACAAGGAAACATTTGGTATTCATTGACTGAGCAGCCAGTACTGTTTTCACTTGAGATTTATAAAATTTTTCTCTTAAAACACCTTTATTAGGAAAACAGGTTTCTCAAGTCCAGTAGTTTTTATCACTCTTTTAATTCAATTTTATCATTTAGTGTAACCCTCTCTCCCCCACGTTGGTATTCAGCTTCCTTCAGACCACTGTGGTTACCATCTAGCTGACTCCTCATTTGTTAAGGCATTGCTGGTTTGATGAGGATGAACACAGTTCCACTTGATCTATCTGGCGTCCATTTCCTTCACAATCATTCACTCCTTTGCTCAGAGGGTGAGGAGATCATTGATGAAGTAAACTGAAGTGAAGAACACGTCAGTAGCAAGGAGCTACACAAAAAAGTAATCTTTAGAATAAAGAATTAACTCAGGTTAAAAATATAACGATGATTTGGTTTATATATGATTTATTGTATACAGTGGTTTTAACCCTTCACACAACTGTTATAATCAAATGATCCTGGGATCTCCTTTTGAAATTTAAAGCCTGTGTTAGTAGTAATTTAAATTTCAAAATTCTGGTTTGGCACAAGGTCTTGGTCAGGAGGTCTTCACAAATGGTGTGGATTTCAGTAGCAGTAAAGTGTGGGACTCTCTAAGTTATCCAAGCCTCCAGCTTATCTGGAGTCCTGCATCAGGCAGATGTGGGGTTGACCAGGGTATGGGGTTTGATTATCTCACCTTTAGCATCAACCTTTTACTAAAATCTCATATTTTCAAAATGTTTACTCAAGTAATTTTCCAAATTTAGGTGTTGTCCAGCTCTCTTTTGAGAGTGCTCAGAAGAATCAAACCACCCCTTAACTCCAACTCCATTCACTTTTTATTTTACACCATTGCTCCATCTCAGTCTCTCTCTCTCTCCCTTCTCCCACCTTCTCAATTCAACTGCAGCCCATTTCTAAAGGCTGGTACAACTGACTTTGTGAAGAATCTAAATTTTTAGAATGCATAGACAAAATGGGTTTTCCAGTAATTAATCTTTATCAACTTGTGTCATTCTGTTTTAGGGGGGTTTCCTGACACCACAGACTTGATCATATTCTAAGATAATTGAAGCTAATCCAGATGCCTCCCTGCCAGCCAGTCTTAAAAAAGTTTTGTTCATCCACAGTTGTCATGAGTGGGAAAGAAAAAAAAGAAAAATATTTCCAATATCTTTAGTAATAATAAAAAATATCTTTCTCTGATTGTGTTTCTCAATCAACAAGACCACACAGCCTTTTGCCTATGGTCACTCCAAGTTAATAATTAATCTTTCTTTATCAAATTGTCTCACTCATCCAGCTATAAAAATTTTTTGACAAATGTCACAGAAATTAAAATAAATGAACCCATCCCCAATCTTAGGTGTTAATCTTTATTATTGTAGGGATATTTTTCTCCTGGCTGGACTACATAAACCAGATGTTTTCCTGGCTCTTTGTTCAGAATAATTTAGATGTTATTTTGCTGACCATCTGTTTTCTTTAATGATAAGGTATTGTAAACGTGTGTTTTTCTATTTTCCCAGGACCAACATCTCCAATGATACATTCTCTTTCTTGTCAGCAGGAAGTGGGGAAGGGTTGGTAGTCTTGGTTTTGCTCAATCTTACTGAATTCTGTCTTGTTAAATATGACTTTGATTCTCCTTGGAACTGTTTGAAATTTCATTTTATTTTAAAACATCATTTTTAATGCATTTTGTTTTTAATTTTCTTAACTTTTCAATCTCCTTTCCTAAGAATTTCACCAATTATCATCCAGTTAGTAATCACTTTCCTTTTCCTTTTTTTTTTTTTTCTGATTGACTCCCTGAGGCCCCAGTGCCACATTAGTATCTTTTTTTTTCTTTTGCATCAAAGTATACTGACACATGCTGGAACATAGAAAAAGAACACAATATCATAAATTGATGGAAAGGATTGCTAGTCCACATTGTTCAAAGAAGGATAATCTTTGCCAAACTTCAGGCTTTACTCGCTCAAAGCCTTTTTTCACCATTGATCTTAGGAAGCAGTTGTATTCAGCAGTCATAATTGATATTTCTGAACGGGTTTAACCTCATGCACAGCATCCATGTGAATGTCTCAATCAGATGAGATTATTTAAGGATATGACTCAGGTTTTTGGGTTGATGTGACTGAAATCAAAAGAAAATATGGGATGACATTGTTTTCATAATATCTACCATGTCTTATGTTAGAGAAATTTCATTTTTACAGTAAAAATATTGAGACTAATACTAAATATTTTGAAGTTAAATTTCTGATTGTTTGATTGATTTTGTTTTCTATGGCTTATCAACCCTTTGCAAATTATTTAAAGCCAGAAAATATTTTTATGTTGTAAGAATTTTGTGGGGGATAACAGCTTAGTGATACAAATCTCACTAATTAACCCATAGCTGGAGGGGAGAAGAGGTTGATGCATACCTCATCAGAATTTGAAAAACAAACAAGGAATTTTAATGTGGATATAAAGTGGGGGATCAATATTATATTACAATCAATGTATAAACTGATCCCTCAATTTGTGGCCATGGTAGTTTCTATACATTTTTATTCCAGAGAATGTAAATAAATATAAAAGACATGTCTGTGTAGCTAATGAGTATTTCAGTGATTGATTGATTGATTCGCTTTCTCTGGCTTATCAACCCTTTGCAGGTTATATAAAGCCAGAAAATATTTTTAGATTGTAAGAATTTGTTTTTTTTAAGATATTAATGATTTAGTGATACAAGTCTTACTAATTAATTCATGGCTGACTCAGAAGAGGAAGATTTTTACCTTTCCCAAAAGTATTTGCATATAAGTTAATATAACAAACACAATGGGAATTAGAAATTGGTTCTCCGATTAACAATTCTGAGCCATTATCAATTAAGCAATCTGCACAGCCACACTTAAAGTACCTGATATTCCCAAGTGGTCACCCATCTAGGTACTGATCAGGCTTGACATTGCTGAACTTTGGCTTCTGGCCACATGTTGAAACACCAATGTTAAATTTAGTAAAAGCATAAGAAGTTTATGTTGAAATCATTGCTCTACTGTAGCCCCCTTTTCAATTGATGAAATGCTGAGTTCAATCCACACTTGGTATTGTGGGTCAGTCCTAAACAAGGCTTAGCAAATATGACAAGAGATCTTGCATTGAATCCAGAACAATTGTTTTTCTTTCATTATGAAAAATAAAGTACATCTTACATGACATTCAAAGCCACTGACTATAACTCTTTTCATATATTATTTTTTTTTTTTAGGTGTGGATAAACTGCGTAGCATCCATGCTAACCTTCGTTACAGCATCAATCAAATGTCTGCATTGCTTGTACGACAGCTCAAGAGAAGGGATCATCGTGTGGCCAAGTTGAATTGCAATTCTGACCTTCTTACGGCTTTCCTTCAGGCTTCCTCTCTTAAAAGACGTGAGTAGAACTTTTCTAACATCCCTTTTGCAAATGTTTCTCTGATTTTTCTTCCATGTGAAAGTATTCTCATAATTCAAATCCCCCGCCAAAAAAAAAAAAACATTTCTTTTTGTTTATAAATTAACTAATACACTGTGTTTTCTTTTTAATTATTGTTCCCTCAATACAAGGCTCAAGATCCACTTAAGGTAGAGTTTGTTGTAAGTGGAGTAAGAGTTGCATATTATAAAGATATGTAGGATAGATAACAATTCACTGTAGATTTGAATAGGTTAAGATTGTTGCGATTGAGGAAGCATCCTATCGGGAGATTATTCTACAATGCATCAGTTCTGAGGAAGAAGCTGGAACTTCTTCCTCATCAATGGAAGACAAAGGGAATGAGGATGAGTCAATTCAGTATATGTGTACAATAGAACAGGTCAATTTTGAACCTGTAGTATTGTACTCAATTTGAAAGTTGAGGTTTACTTGATAAATAACCACACAAAATATTTTAGGAAACAAATTTAAATATTCAAAATCATAGCATTGCAATTTTATTCTGGTGATCAGTGAAAACCTTATAGCACAGCCTTATAAAATTTATATTTTACTGAAACTTTACAAATTGTATATGGACAAATTGCATGGCACAAGCACATTATTAATAAATCATTGTTCATTTTTTTTTTTCTTTTTTCTTTTTTCAATAAACAATGCAAATTTGAAATATTTTTCCTTTATAATTTGTGTCCAGTAGTATTATGGTGTTATATATACATTTATTTATTTTTTGTTTTTGCTTTTATTAATTATGATCTAACAAATCTTATTCATTCAATAGGCTTCTTTTTATTTTTATTTTTTTATTTTTTTTTATTTATTTTTTTTTTTTTTACTTCTCAAATTCATTTGCATATTTTACTTGTGGGGATTTTTAAACAGAATTCTGGTTTGAATATATTTTCCATTCAATGTATCTAATACAAATGATATTAACATTATTTGCATTTATTTTTGAAATGGTAAAATTTTGAAGTCAGTCTGTAAGCAAAACCCTACGGGAATTAGGTTATTTCTGTACATTTTTTAGATGATCTTTAAACCTAAATGCTCAAAAATTGATAAAGTTGATGAATCTAATTTTTTATTTCAGGATTTATCACACCAATCTTCAGCTTTCACACTGAGTGCAATATTGATTTACTAAAAAGAAAGTGAAAATAATCAAATTGTGTTTTTATAGGATTGCATTATGTTTTTGGATTTCCTTATTTAAATGTTGGATTTGATTTTTAGCTGTTATTTGTCATAAAACAAGGTTTTTTTTTTCTCTGAAAGTTATAGTGTTATTTTCCATGTTGGCTGCTGGGTCATGTAATTTAATAATTGTATATTTGGGCAACAATCCCTCTTTTATACAAGTTTTATTAAAAATGACCGTCAAGGTACTGCAGTTTTTTTAATTTAATTTTATGTGTTCTTGTAGTGTATAAAAGACTGATTGCTGTCCAAATACACAATTATTAAATTACATAGTTATAAGAACACAAGAAAAATAAAATAAAACTTAGTCATGGTACCTTGTCAGTTATTTTTAATGAAATTTTCATAAGAGGGATTACTGTCCAAATATACAACCCTTTGCCCTTGCATGGAATACTGCTGACATATATGGTCTGGTGCCCCCACTGTTCGCCTTAAGGTCCTCGACAAGATCCAGAGACAGATAAGCAATGTGGTTGGTCCTGATCTGGCATCTCATCTTCATTCGCTCTCTTACAGACGTGTCATCGCCTCTCTCTGTCTTTTCTACAAATACTTTTATGGTAACTGCTTCGACAAGCTACTTTCGTTAGTTCCCAGACCGCATGAATTTAAGCATGCTACTAGGCTGACATCATGGTCCCACCCTTTCACTGTCGAAATGGTTAAATTTGGCCATCTCTTCTACTCCAATAGCTTCATGTCTCGCACCTCCCATCTGTGGAATTCACTTCCTATTACTTGTTTCCCTGATAGCTATAGTCTCCAACTATTCAAATGTAATGTCAATTGACATCTCCAGATTCCCTGAACTATCCCCCTGCTCTTCTCTTCATCCTTTCCTCCATCACACCTCTTTACACTCGCTACTTGCATGGGGTGAAATGCTTTAAAAAAAAAAAAAAATTATATATATACACACACATTACATAGGGTATGGTTTCAACAGTTGCTCAAGATTGTTGAAACAGTTACAATCAAATTTAGAAGACCTACTCTTTGCAGGCAAAATGAGTTTCATTCGTTCCCATCTTCTTTTGCAAGAACACTAATCGATTTTCCACAATTTTTAGTGATTCTTCAGGTTTGCTTATCAGTTTTATTCATTTTCAATTTTACAAATTGATTTTCAAAATTTGATTGAAGGTGATTTTATATTTTAATTGTGTGCCATTTTGTACTCCCCTAATAGTGTATTTCGTTTTTCTTGTTAAAAAAAAAAAAAAAATTGTTTTTGTCAATGATAGGTCTCTGATGAAGGACTGGCCACCCCACCCTCCTGTTATGCTACTGGATTAAATTCGCAATATTAGCCAATGACCAAGTGAGATTAAAATCACAAGAAATTGCTCACCACACATCTGAACTCTAATGAACCATGTTTATACTAACATGACTAGTTAACGAACCACTAGATTAGCTTTTATGTGTACATCTTTCCTTATCTCAGTTGATAATAATTAAACTCTCCTGAGGAAGGTGAAACAGAGGTTAGGGGTTACACAGCTTAAGATATGTCAGCTGTCACCCCCATGTGTAAATAAATTGGAATGTATAACTAGTGACCTATATTTGTTGTGACCTTCAAACAAGTGACACGTGTCATCACAACAAATATAACCACTTGTGGCAATAGGAATTTTGACCTAAATTTCTCAAAATAAAAACAATCCGTGGAAGTGCAACTCTTAAACAAGAGAAAGTTAATGCAATTGTGCAATTCCGATGCACAGGATCGGATTATCCTTTAGGTTAGTATAGGCTGCATCCCAGGGCCAGATTATCATTTCGGTTAAGATAGGTTGCAGCCTATGGCAACTTAAGCTTTTATAAAGCAATGATTTTAATTTTCTAAATATTATAACTTAATAGTTTCATAAACTGAAATGATATCAATCACAAACTCCTTTTTATTTTGATTGTTTTATTTTTTTAATGCTGGTTATAAAAAAATCGGCTTTTTTTTTTTTTTTTTTTTACTATGGTTGTGTTGAAATTGATGCTAATTTGGTTTGCAATAAATAGTAAAATAGTGGTATTTCAATATTTTTATTGGCAAACAGTGGTGGATCTACTAGGAAACTAAAGAAATGGAATCAACATGCTAAGTTCAAATCCTGTTACATTCCCTTTGTGCCATTGTCTTTGGAAAAGACCTGAATCTATTTCTTCTCAATATGTATAAATAAATTAGTAGAGTAGACTAAACTCTTTAGCCTTGATTAAGGCAATCAGTCTAAGATTAAATCTGGAAATTCAGAACCAAAGAGAAGGTAATTTCCCAAGAATATTCATGTCAGTTCATAGATATTAAGATGTGGAGAGCTTTGATCATCCTGAATAGACATAGATTTAAAGAAAAATATCTTAGATTTCAGTTACTTCAAGTAAATGGTAAATTATTGATTAATATCAAAACCCCTTGAAACAATAAGATTATTAGCTAAAGTGTGTTGTTTAGAGATTTAGATTGTGTGCCACGGACTTAAAAACTTTCTGCCCAAATTAAAACATAAAACCATATGATGCACATCACATCACAAGCTGATAAGACAAAGTAAAAATGCTTTTAGAAATGTAATGAATTTACCTTCAGATTTCTATGTTGTCCAAAGCAAATCCTTGAAACTATTTGAACACTTGAAGGTATGGTGTACATGAAGAGAGAAATAGAGGAAAACCAAAACAGATGGGAAAAGATAACACAATTCTGTAGTTGGCAAGTAATGCATATGAGGCAGTAAATAGACTTGCTCAAGATTGTAATAAATGGTCGGAAAATAAGTCGTTAGTTTGCAGGTGGAAACCACTCTCATGAGTGGTTTGTAACACATTATTTATCATCTCTCAGTTGCATCTCTGTCTTTGGGCAGAGTGCACTCAGGGGTGGCTCCGTCAAAGGACAGTCGCAACTGAGGAAAATTATACTGAGAGGTGCCCAGCTCTGGGGAACAGCTGCCTGAAGCCGTGCCCTCTCATTGCACTAGAGAGAGGGATTGGTGCTCGCACCAAGGCCAGTGCAACTGATGGTTGCAAGGGACTGTGGGCAATTTTTGTTCCTAGCCTGGGTGTATGCACTTGGGTCTCTACCTTAAAAAAATGACCTTGTGTCACAACTCATCTTAGTGAGGAGACAGAGTAAATACCTAGTTTGCAGGTGGAACCATTGAATGGATTTTGTAGTTTCATCAAAATTAAATGATACAAAATTCAACCGAGGTCTGTAAATTTGTCTTCACTTGTCAATACCCCTTGTAGTAAATCTGTGAAAGTATTTGGACGTACTAAAATATCTAGTACAAGGCTCACTAAATTGTTTTGAATGTATGGTGTCCCTGAAAAGAGAAGTAGAAGTAAACAAAAATAGATGTGTAAGGATAATGAGAAGTGTGTGTGTTCAGCAACTAATGAGTGTCAGACAGTAAATAAACTTGCTCAAGATCATAATAAATAGTTGGAAAATAAGTCTGGTTAATTCACAATCTACCACAGGTGGCAATGACTGATGAAATGAATAGAAACACCAGAGTGAATGCTATTAAATTACAGATGTACAGGTACTGAATGATGATCATGATCCAAATAAATTTTAGTAAAGAGCTTCTATCTTGTCTTTTTGGAAACAAAAAAAAATTATTATAGGTGCTTACTGTAGAATTATAAAATCTGATGTCACAAGCCATTGAGAATGGATTTTTATCTTTAGTTATTAGGTTGGTGCAAAAATAATGTCGTTTTTTGACGTTAAG